GAGCTTTTTCGTAATCCCGTTAGATGTCATGCCGATCTCACACCCAGCGCCCAGATCCGCACCTATGCAGGTGCGCGTGACCTCCATCAGTACCTCTGCGACAGACAGACAGTTCAGAGGTTACAGCGTCAGGCTAGGGCTAAAAATCACTTCAGAAGGTACAGGGGCAGGTCAGGGGTCACAGCATCAGTTCCTGCGTCACAGGGCAAGGTTACGGTCAGAGGTCACAGGTTCGTTTCGAGGCATACGCGGTAAACGTCATCAGCAAATTGTGCAATGACATGGTCCATCACACCCAATCACGGACCGCCGTTGCGGCTCTGTTAGGCGGGTTCTGCACTCTCTGACCAGCGACCAGGGCGTGGGTTCGCGTCTCAAAAATTACATGTAGAATGCGCTACATAATAAGCCCGATCGGTTTATCTCCACGTTTCTTACGGTATTTTTTTTTGGGGGGGGGGTATTCACGACTTCTGGTCTTGAAGTTTTTGTTTGTTTTCGCCATCACCCACGTAAATCTTTCCGCATTGAATGCGCAATGACAGAAGGAAGGTGCCCTTTCTAAAATCAGCTGAGGAGGCTGAGTTGGTCGTGTCTGTCTAGCCGACTCCAAAAACTTGATTACTCCCCGCATTTCGGTCGCTTTAAATTGCGTTACAAGTGTCAAAACTATAAAGCCTTGTTATTGGGATTTGTCTCTTCCAAACTTGCTTTGGTTTTGAATAACCTCGTCCCCTCCCGAGCCAGTGCGGAGCTAAATTTTAAGACAGTGTAGAGCGGGGGGAAGGGGTGCAATTAACAAAACAAAACATTTAGGTGAGCTGATCCGTTACAATCACCGAAAAGTTGTCGTTTTTCTGTCATTCAGGTTGGCAGAGGCGCAAAAATATGGTGTTATGCAAAATGGCGTGACGCGACACTTCAGACGAAAATTGCAAGAACTGACACTTAAAGACGAGAATGGCATGACCCGACACTTACAGACGAGAATGGCGTGACGCGACATTCACAGACGAGAATGGCGTGACCCGACACTTAAAGACGAGGATGGCGTGAGCCGACACTCACAGACGGGAATGAATGGACAATTGCATTGAATTTGGCAAATATCAAACTGCATCATTGAACAAGACGACGCGTGAACACATTATGGCATGCGTCTCCATTCTAGGCGTTTTAGTCCCTTAATTCGCCTAAAATCAAGGTCTGATATCAGGTAAAATGTTCTTTGAACTGAAAATGGTTGAAGGAAGCATACTTGACATACTTAAACTTATACTTGGTGAACAAGAATTCAAAAATTGTTGTAAGTAGTTTCAATATATGATAAAGCTGGGGGCTATAAGCTCAGATTCAGCTACTGCCATCAAGCGGAGGATACCACTTCAGAGAGGTCTGTTGGCGCGGTTCGTTACTATTATTAAGTCGTTAGTTCGCCAAACGGGATATCACGGGGCTTAATGTGTAATACTGATGGCCTAAGTGGGCTTCGGGTCAGGCCAGTTCGTACAAGATGGGTCACCAATATGCACATAGGCGGATCCTGGGGGGGAACGGGGCCCTGGCCCTCTCCCCCCAAAAAACTCTGAGAGTATGTTTTGGCCCCCCAAAACATTCCCAGGATTTCATACAAGTTTCGTCTACTTACCGTCTAATTTAACTTTGATGGTGCGGTATCAAACATTTCTTTCCGTTTCGGAAAAAAATTCATGAAGAAAGGTTGGCAGCGATTTGAATATCGAAACGAAACGCATATTGACGCGGTTTAGTCATACTCGGCGCAGACATCGTGTTTGATAAGTGCACTGGACCTCGGATCCCACACCAGCCAGCTGGCGACGAACGGTTGCCCCCCCCCCCCCAAAAAAAACAACACCGGGCTAGATCCCCCCTGGATGTGCATTAGGAACCGCTGTGCAAAGGTCGCTATGTCGAAGACCCTTTCGGGTGGGTTACTAACCTGTAGTAAATATTACTGGCATTGTATAGATCACTGACCTGTAGAAGACGCACTGCGTGGATTGCTGACATTTGGTGCATATTGTGAGAAGGTTCAATGAGATATAGTAGCTGTCTCGTAAGAATAACTGGTATGCAGTAGGCATTCACATATGGCTCTCTGGGATGGATCAGACATCACCGGGTAGCTTACAGACATCACGGGATGGCCTACATACCTCACCGGATGGCTCAAATAATTACCGTATGGCTTAGAGACATCACTATATGGCTAACATACACCACCGTATGGCTTACAGACATCACCGGGTGGCTTACAGACATCACGGGATGGCCTACGAACATCACCGTATGGTTCACATACATCACCGTATGGCTTACAGACATCACTATGTGGCTAACATACGCCACCGTATGGCTTACAGACATCACCGGATGGCTTACAGCCATCACCAGAAGGCTAACAGACATCCCCAGAAGGCTCACAGACATCACCGGATGGCTTGCAGACATCACCGGATGGCTTACAGGCATCACCGGATGGCGACAAAACACTACCGGATGTCTTACGGTCATCACCGGATGACTGACAAACATCACCAGATGGCTTACATGCATTACCGGATGGCTTACACATATTACCGGATGGCTTACGGACATCACCGTATGGCGTACAGACATTACCAGACGGCTTACAGACATCCCCAGATGGCTTACATACATTACCGGATGGCTTACACTTATCACCGGATGGCTTACGGTCATGACCAGATGGCTTACATACATTACCGGATGGCTTACACTTATCGCCGGATGGCTTACGGTCATGACCAGATGGCTTACATACATAACCGGATGGCTTGCACACATCACCGGATGGCTTACAGACATCACCGGATGGCGCACACATATTACCAGATGGCTTACAGACATCACCGGACGGCTTACTGGCATGACCGGATGGCTCACAGACACCCGGTGGATCCCACCGTAGACGACTCGCCTGTGCCATGGACGCCGAGGTTGCGGTATTCGCTGAGCGTGATGCAGTGGCTGAGGTCGGCACCGCACGGCTTGGGCGGCGGCAGCACCGTGACGCAGTGAGAGACGTTGGTGCCCGTCCCGGAGCTGCACTGGACACAGCGCAAGCTTCCTGCTGCGGGAGACAGGGGACGGTCGGGCAGAAGTCAGGCACTGGACACAGCGCAAGCTTTTTTGCTTGCGCCCGCCCGGAGGCAGGGGGTGGTCAGTGGTCAGTCGCTTTACACAACTGGACACAGCGCAGGCCGTCCGCTGTTGGGAGACAGGGGAGGGACGGTCAGTGGTCAGTCGCTGGACACAGCGCATGCCAGCAACTGTGGGGAGACACGGAACGGTCGGTCAACAGTCAGTCACCGCACACCGTTTCAGCGGAATGGACCGTTCCAACGAGTTCTTCTCGTCGGTGGACTCTCGAATCGCAGCTGACCTGAGCGACGACATCACAGCCGATCCGGACCCGCGTCCGCCCATCGCCGTCTCGGCGGCGTTGCAGCTCCAACTAGTCACCCCAACGCATTTGGCGGGACTTGTGAGGCGCATGAATTCGCCTGAAGCGGTCCGTTTAGATGGGGTGTTGTTGAGCGTAGTCGAGCGTTGTTTCATAGTGATGAGCCCGCATCAGCTGTGCATTGTTAAAGCGTCTGTGACGGAGAGGATTTTTCCCGAAGATTGGAACACATCCGAGGTGGTCCCCATCTACAAACCGAGAGGCGACGTGTACGAGCTCTTTATCTTCCGATCTCCCTTCCACCTCACTTGTCTAAAATTGCTGAGAAAATTTCCGTGATCAACTCTCTCGGTGCCCATGTGATCGCAGCATTTTGTTTCATGATCAATATGCGTGCAGGCCTTGCCTCTGCACCAAGGAAGCCGCGCTCGGCGCTGTCGAACGAATCAATCAAAACTCAGAACGCGGTGAGATTTCCACAGTTACCGCCGCCGACCCCAGCAAAGCCTTCGACAGTATTGACCATGGCGTGCTCTTGAACAAGCCGGTATGATACGTTGTTGACCCAACGTCAATTGACCCAACGTTCAATGCAATGCAATTTTCGACAATTTTGGCACCAACAATGGCACATGTAACTTTATCTGTCCTTCGTAATTTCGTATTGAGCCGATACATTTGTAGTTAGGCTCTAGTGCTGGACTCGGACACAATTCAGTCTCCAAGGACTTGAACCGTGTTTGAACTCATGAAACAAGATAAGAAAGGGATTCGGACTCGGGTTTTTAAACCGCATCAAGGGTCAAGTCTGAACCAGAACAACGACCCAGATTGTTCAACTCACGTTCAAACTCCGTCTCAGAGCCCGAGAACGCGATCGCTGGAAATGGCTGACAAGCGTTGTATAGCGTTGAAATGGCCACCAGCCGTTGCATGCCAGTCGTGGATGGCAGCCATCCTTGTCAGAACGACGCGCCCTGGAGGCTTTCGAGCGCACCCACGCGAACGAACAGTGTCGCCTAGGCTCGGCTGAGCGGACTTGGACCGGCGGCGACCCCAACCCGTGGCACTCGGACAGAGACGTGCCCGGCCTCAGCGCGAAGCTGCCATCTGTCTTTCATTCCGACCAGCTAACGCTTCTGCTAAGTCAATCAGAAATTTAACCGGGTTGTAAGGTACCAGAAAAAATAAAACAGGAAATGTCGCGTACAGTGGTACCTATATTCCGAGCACATCAGCTGCCATCTCTGCAGCTCTTTGACGACATATCTCCAATGGCGCACCTAATGGTAGTTAGGTGACGGAAACGGCAAAGGATAACCCACGGCAAAAAAACTAGATAGTTGAGTAACACGAGATTAGCACGAGATCTGTAGAAACCGCCAAAGTTATAGCGACTTCCGCGGCCGCGGCGATGCCAGTGACCGGCCGATTCACATTGGCTGTTCTCGATCTGGCAACACTCCCTGGCAACGCCTGCGCGCCAAGGTCAGGGAATCGGCCCGGCGCGAGAACCGGGGCTCTGAGAGCATGTCGCGGCGACATCGGGGAGTCGTGGATCGCTGCGCGCGCGTGACGGCCGAGAGCGGAGCGTGTTCCTGCCGCGGCCTGTGCTCGCTGTCATGTGGGTTCTCACTGTGTCCCTGCTGCTGGTGGCGGCGTTCCTGTGGATTCGAAGGCCGCAGCGACCGACCAACTTCCCGCCGGGTACATATTTGCGCTCGCAGAGATAGTTAGGTGACCAAAGATGTGAGACCTTAGCATTGGGGAGCGTGGATGGGAGGGAGGGGAGGCAGCGGGGGAAGCTCGCTTCCTTGCTTTTGAAAGCTGCAGGCGCCCCCCAGGCGGTGGTTCATCCTGATCTGTAGAGGGCCCATTCTGGCTAGTGAAGGGTTGAATCACCCGAACAGGGCTCGTTCTGACATGTAAAATCCATATTATTGGCTAGGAAGGGCTCATTCAGGCCCGTGCAGGGCCCATAATGGCCTTCAAAGAGCCCATTCTGGCACAGTGAAGGTCCATTCTGTCGGTATAGGTCCCATTCTAACCTGTAGTGCCTAGTGAACCCATTCTGACTTGTAGCCTGTCCACTATCGACTGTTGAGAGTCTGTTTCGTCCTGCGGAGAGCGAAATCGTCGTCGTCTATTTTGACCCGTACTGTGTCCATTCTGGCATGTAGAGGTTCCATTATCGACTGTGAAGGCCCATTCTGCCTTCTTAATGGCCCGTGGTTAGGGGGCCAATATGGCCTGCAACAGGACATTCCGACGTTTGGAGTGTCCATTTCTGACCGTGAAAGCCCATTCTGGCCTGTAGAGGGCGACTTCTGAACTACAGAAGACACATTCTGATCTGTAAAAGGCTCATTAGGGCCTGTACGCAGCACGCTATCTGATTTTAAGAGGACCATTGCACGTAGTTCCCGCGTTGATGATCATATCTCGTGCGTTGCATATGTCACGTCTTGCGCAGTGCTTGTGGAATATTAACCACAGTTTGCTGGAAATGACTGTATCAGTGGTAGCATCAGTAAAAGGGAAGCTTCCTTCGTGGTACGTACATATAAGGCACAGCTGTCCGTCCCATCGCATTTTAGAAAGTATCGGACGGTAGTTAAATCAAGACTAAGACCAATGTAGGCATAGCGACAAAGGTCAAGGCGACATTCGAGTGGGTAAATGATCGTTGTGTCCCAAATGCATGGAGCGCATGTATTGTTGCTTTAAGACAGGTATGCTTCGGCATGACACCTTTCAATAGTGGCAAAGCCGGCAGATGATTTGAGTGGTGGGACGAGTTGAAGAGATGGAGAGAGGGAACTGGTTTCATGGCCACTGTCTTTTCTTTGCACGAACTCTTTCCGCCGTAAAGCCCAATTGAAAATGATGTTTATGCATCCTTGGAACCTCCTTGGGCTTTCGCTCTTGCACCATAAATGACTTTGAGTTACGGTTTGTCAAACAACCGACCGCTGTATATGTGACGTCTTGGCATTCAAAGCACCCTGCAATTCTCAGCTTTAAAACTAACGAATTACCATTTTCTACCAAAAGGCCCCAGACTCCCGAGACAGGTAAATCCATTGTGTCTACGAATACATCCGAGTGCATTTGGGCAACCCATTTCATGTCAGCCGTCAAATGGCGATGGATTGTTTGTCTGACATCCTTTTAGTGCCATGATTGTTTACTTTTATCTCAATTCACTTTTAATCATGATGACCATTTGTCACTTGCCTTATTTCCCAGAGAGTTTTGCAGCCTGTCGAATAGTATCTTCTTCGACAGTTTGTTCTTCGGACTTTTCCCATTCGACTTTATCCCTGTCGACGTTGCTCCCATTCGACTAGATGAGATCGATGCTTCCGTTCCAGTTTTTTTCCATTCGACTTTTTCCACTCGACTTATAACGATTAACGCATGGGCACGTGCTCAGCGCTTGACCTGCATCCTCTCCAAGTAAACTCAGGCCACTCACGGCTGGTGCTCGTAGCCTTCCCGGATCAACGGGGCGTCGCGAGTTGCAAGATGAAACGAGAGTGAGGGAAGAAAGGCGAATGTACCTGCTTTTAACACTTGGCACTCTAACAACACGCTGTATTAGAAACGCACGAGAAACGGTGATAAATTTACCGTGTCTCTTGCTTGCGATGCGTGAATGAGTCGGGCTTAGCAGCTGACTGACGGCCGGGACATTACTGCGGCCATGGCTGGGGTGAAGACATGATTGGTTCTATAGCCTTGGGGGCTGTGATGCCTGTACTTACGGACCTGGACCTAGATCTGGACCTTTGACACTACCAAACCAGCATTTGTTTTTGAAGTTCAGCTTTTGTCTTCGACTTGGCTGCAGCACGTAAAGACTTGTAACGCTATGGTGATAATGCACTATTCCTGTGAAACGCTCGTGACCGATCGATAGTTTTCAGGTACTTACTTGTACTTCCGGTACTTCCGGTACTTACTTCCGGTACTTCTCACATACAACTGCACTGGTATGTGACAAAATCATAATTGCTCTTAACGCAGGCAAAAAAGGCATGTTGGTTGAATGGTTAGACGAAGCAATATACTTTAATCACTTAGAGCCATAAAGCTTGCAGCAATCTGGCGGGCAACATCCAGAAGCTCCAAGAAAGGGGACTAACCAAGTCACCCATTCATAACCTATTTCTGTCCTTTGCCACAAAAAATACTTCCCGCTCCCCATGCCTCCTGTAACATGTGTCGCTAATTTGCTAAGTTGTCGCTAATTCGCTAAATCGGTCGCTAATTTGTGTCATAAAAAGTAAAGAAAAAGGTTAAATATGCATTACAGCGTGACGGGCATATTGCCTCCCGCCTTGCCCCGCATTTTCGCAGCCTTCTCCTCCTCTAGAGCAGCTCAACGGAGGGTGCAAAATGTGCGCCGTTTTGCGATGAAAAAGCGCGTTCGCCACGCCGTCGTTGCTCTGCGCTTAACCACCTGAGCCCATCTTCCATATTGATGTACTTAACCCCGCCCTGTGACCAGGTACAGCCGTTCCAACAACGTTCATACTCTGGTGAAGCGTTATAGCCAACTTCTTATTGATAGCAGCTGTTCTCAAGTACTGCACCTGACGTTGGATACAGCCTCAAGAATACATGTTCAGGAAATGCTGCTTTTAGAAGTCTTGACATTTAGCGTCCCGAAAGCAGGAGTAAAATGGCCAAAATGAGACACTTGAACGGAACAAATATGATGGCAATGAGTGACGAGCAAAATAGCAAATTGAGCAGATTTCAACGGATTTTCAACGAAGAAAGTAGCGTAGATTCATTAGTGCATTGGTGATTGTGCACATGCTTTTATTTGTTAGTGCGATGTGAAATCTTTCATTGACTTGACTTGAACTGGTTACATCTTACTGAGCCCGACTTTTAAAGTAATGCGCTCTGATGTCCACTAATTGTCTTACCGTGCATATGAGATTCACACGCTGTAATTCTGGCAATTGTGACCTTGACCTTAGCGGTGCGGAGTCAGGTTTCCGGGTAGAGGTCAAGGATAAACACTACCAAGGCGCCACCGTCAATGTTTGATGGAAGGAACGAAGTCAAAAAACAATCACATCAGCACTTAACTGAAAAACGTTGAGAAGGCGTGCTCGAAATGATGTCATTGTCGTAACGGATCACTGCTATGGAATTTCACGCACCTTGCGCTGCACCGCCGCAAGGCATAGTCGCTCAGGAACCGTTGATTGGGGCTGGGGCAACCACCCACAACTTTCTGACAATTCCGCATTGGCCCTGTGGGCGTCGACAGGACAGAAATCATCAATGCGATGTTGGCAGAAAACAAGTTATCTGAGTTCCCAAGCTCCTTCTCATCGCAGTGCTTATTATCATCAAGACCAATTGGCCATGTACTCTACTAGTGTATAAGCTTGTGTTTGTATGGTGGCTAAAGCTAGGTAGGATGATATTATATGTACCCTACAGCTACGATGCGGCTTGGGCGCCCCATTCCAAAAGTATGAAGTCTGTTTATGGAGAAATATTAACAGAGCCCAACCTGCCATTTAATACGGTGGCGGTAAAGCATCTAAACGGCACGCTGCTTGAGGAACACATAGTTCACTTTCCCCTTCCAGGTCCACACCAACACCGTGTATGGTAAGCTCCAGGCGCAGCCAAATGTTCTCTGGCGTGATGCGTTCAGACTGACAAAAGCAACTGCGGCATGAACTGATTCCATTCAATCCAGGCGCAGTCGATATACGTGACACAATGCTGCTATTTTCCTCCTCCCTTGCATCACACTGCGAAACAAATTTTCAGTCCGTGTCGCTCGCTGAGACTGCATTCAACTGTGGCTAAACTGGTGGGCAGGGTCATGAGCAGACTATTGTTTTGGACAACTTCAAGAAATGGTTCCCTATTGGTGGCGCAGCTGCTCGGTTGCAGGCTCTTGCCGCCCGCTGGGCAAATCACAAACATTCTTTCATTCGCGTCCGCAGATGCCAGGGCAGTTATGATGAGGAGGCGGGGAAGAAGCGCAGTGCTGTTACGAAGCGTTGACATGATAATGTGGATTGGAAAACATAATTGAAATGAACATCCTTATTACGTCTTGACGGTGCTACAGTGGCATTATCAAGTGTTGTTATTGTCCTAGCTGGTCATGAGGCTTCACTTGAGCATGTTTTTGAAATATGTCCCAGAGGTGGACACTCCCTTTAAAACTCTCTCACAAAGCTTACATACGCACTGATAATTATAAAAATGCTGTGTAGAAACGAGCTGAACCAGCTGATAACAATGCAGCCCGCACAATTCTACTAGCATTCCACCATCATTTTTATCCACCTTTTAGTGTTCTCAAACAGCGTGCAAGTTACGCTTGACAAGTGTAGCCTATTGTTCTCCCATTCCTCGCTGTCCTAATCCAGTTATGACAGTCAAAATGAATACAACATCAGCTCTATATGAATGTATTTATTCTGAGCAGCCGACATATAAACGTAACAATCAACAGCCGTTTGCTGAAAGTTTTAGCCTGACCAAATATTTAGCACACATTACGGTCACTAAAAGTTCCGTCCAAGCATCCTTCCATGGCGTGACGTCCAACAACCAGACATTACCCTGTTGGAGCAGCGCTCCTGTTCTCCGCGTGGTGATTGGCTGCGGAGAATACGGCGGCGGGGTGGCACACGCATTACCGAGGACTCCCTGTGCTG